AATTGAGCGAAAAACTGAATAAATACAGAATAGATCGTCAAATACATATCGCATCAAAATCATATCTTCTCTAATTAAATAATTAAATAGAAACGGGACTAGTGACTTTCATTCAAATTAAAGTTTATGATGGCTTCCATATAAGTCTAATTAATTTGCAGGTGTTAATTATTTAGATTAAAAATATTCATAATTTTCGCCAATTTCTTTATTATCATACAAAAACATAATAAATAAAATAAAAATAAAAATAAAATAGAACTAATGTAATAATCATCGAAAGAAAATTTTTACTAATATAACAAAAAAAAAATTTTTTTTAGCCAGCTAAGGTTTTTTTTTTATAAACTTTTTCGTTCATCTGCGTCCTAAACTTGACTTGCCAAATATCTATAGCCATTTCTTTCATTGAAAGTAATGGCATTCTTCAACATGTCCGTCGCCCTACTAATAACATTATAGTCGTTTATTTGGATTTGTTGTGCTGCTTGTGACACGATAACACGTAAGGCACCTCGAGCATTCGTAGCTCTCCTTCTAAAACGACTGTTGTTACGTCTATTGAAATATGTAGAGACATTGTACATTGTTACCGGATTACCGGGTTGAGGGACGTTTAAGTTACCATTTACCGTAAAGGTTTGAAGGAGTCTAGCTAAATTTCGCTTAAATTCGGAAGTATTGTTGTTTAGATTTTGAACAATATAATCGATTATATTCATATTTTTAATAAAACCGTGATAAGATTAAAAGGTAAGAGTTAAGATGAGTTAAGATTGATTTAACTTATGATTTTGTCTTAGAAGTGCTTATTTTAAGGAAGAATTATATATTTTGAGATCAAAATTTTTTTTAAGATCATAAGTTATTTTTTTTGTTTGTTTCTTTGACCTTTTTATAGTGAATTAATTTATTTTTTTTGTCAAGCACGTTTCCATAGATAATGACTCATAAATCTTATTTTGCATTTTAAGGCTAAGCATCACGAAGTTCGAATTGAATCTTTCAGCAGGTAATTTGCCGATATTAATAAACAAGGATGAAATAGACGTTCGGCTTGTTCGGCTTATCAAAAAAAAATTTTTATGTTTAACAATGAAATAAATTAACTGATTTACGGGTAAAATTACAAATATTAATTCTAAAAGAGTAGAATAACTTTTGATCAAGACAATACAAAAATGTTTCAACAATTGTTCATTAATGATATCATAATATAAATAAATTTTATTTTTATAATATCGAAATCAAAGATCTCTTTTGTTTTCTTAATTTATTTAAATAACATGTAAAACAGGAGGAAATATTTTTTTTAAAAAAAAAAATTAGAAGATTTGGTTATTAAGATAACCTATATTACTTTATATAATTTGTATTTTTATATACATGTATCCCTTGAATTCCAAATTAATAAATTAATACATTTTTTTTTTGAGAGAAAAGCTTAGCCGCCAGCTTAAAATGAAGTTCAAAACTTGAAATTTATAAGTTTACTATTTTTAGAAGTCCATTTCGTAATTTTAATACAGGAATTTTTGAAAAGAGACATAAGAGGATTACAATTAATTGAAATTCCTTTTAAGAATAATTTACGGAGCTAGGTGCGATTAAGATAGATTAAGATTGTAGATCGAACCTATTTTCAAAAACAAGTAAATTATGTTTGAAACAAAGAATATAATTACCCCCATACAAGCAGTGTTGTCATGGGACATAGTTAGGACACTGATGGGACACTGATGGGACATTGATGGGACATTGATGGGACAGATGGGACATTTGGGACATATATGGGACATAGTTGGGACATATAGTTGGGACATATAGCTGGGACAGCAAATGCTTGGGACATAGGAAATGGACATCACTGCATACAAGTAGTATGGTAATGTCTATTTCACAAAATTTATCTTAATTAAAAAAACAAAGTTTTATTTTTTCACACCATTCCTATGTCAAGGTGATGAAATTCAAATTGAAAATTTTTGGTTTAATTTTTTTTTCCGGCTGAGAAATGATAGTAGATCTTTCCTTTTATAAATAATTCAGGTTGGACTTTTTTTTTAGCGTACAGTATGTACAGTAAATTAAACCTTGCTCTATATTACGTTATATATATTAAATTTCAGGGTCTAGATATGTGACGTGTAATCAAAATAATTAGAAAAGAAATATTTTAATTTTGAAAGTTTTCTTAAGCAAATAAGATCATTAAATATAAAGAAAACAAAATTATTCTTAAATAATCAAATAACTAATTCATATCTTAATTAATCTTAATAATAAATATCTTACATTAATTGATTTAATACAATAAAACTAACTGTTATCTAAGTATTAATTAAGCGAAGGATATTGATATATTTTGATTCAATATCTGATATTGGTTATTAATTCTCTTTGGAATATTTATATACTGTAATTATTATAATAAAAGTAATAATTTTAATACCTATAATTACTTTTAACCTAAATAATATAACTTAGGTAATATCACCTAATGAATTTATATTGTTTTATATATAATTACACGGCCGTATATGATTATTATACTTTGGCCGTGGAGTAATTTGTCACGGAGAGAGTTTATTTAAACTTTGGTCGTGATATTACGATTTAAGCTATTCATTATTATAATATTTACTTTAAAAATATTATATTATCCTATTTACTAGTATTTTAAAAAAACAATTATTAAAATGTATATAAAAGCAGTATAATAGCGAAGTTGAATGTAATAGTTTTAATATTTATATATACATGTATAATTAAATGTGTATAGCGTCCAAAGACTTTATAATTTTATAAACGAATAACTTTGATCTGATCACATGCATTTAGACCGATAAATAACGAAATTTACTAAAGTATTCGATTATTTTTTTTTATTTTTGGATTGCTTCTTGCTCATTTTTTATATATAAATTGATTTAACAACAATTGAGCCCGTGTGTATTATATAACATTAAAGGATAAATATTGTAAAAGAAAAAATAAAGTAAATGATAATTATGATAGTAAAGAATAAAAATATTTATAATAATCAGGGGGCCGAATAATTATATCGTAACTTCACGGGTAAATCTCTGATACCCCGTCTAAATAATTTCATCTGAATTAAAAAATATTGATTTATAGCGCTAGCTTATTATTTTAAAAAATGTAACTTCATTATAAAACAATTATTTTAAAATTTTATGATTAAATTGATTTGAATGTATATGTGATTGAAAATTTTGTGAAATTGGCGCATTTTATCTCTTAGAGGGGGACTAAAATTATATTTTGATGAAATATAACCAGATTTAAAAAATTGTTTCTTTCCATTTCGTGAAGATGCCGTATGCATGAATAAAATAATAGCATTCATTGTGTTACAAATACGAATAGGTTCTTCAAATACCGATCGTTTTGATCAATTTTAAGATCATCATGTCATGTATGATAAACATTCCTTGCTTGCAACATGATGGCGATATGAAGCAGAATTTTATATTGGTTACATGAGACGTCATCATTTTTCTTCTTGTGATAAACAGCCGAAGTTCTGAAACCTTAATAAATGAAGGTTTCCTAATATTAATTTTAGCATTTTATCAAAAATTAGCAAAAGAATAAAAATTTAAAAATAAACATCATAAAGAAATATTAATTAATATCCCATTATATCTAAAATATTTTCATATTTATCCAATTATGTAAAGTACGTTACAATTATCAAACACATGAACATTATAGCTCGCGTAATATACGTGTTGAACAGTTTTATGCAATTGATGTTAAAATATAAATATAAAAGAGAGGGAAAAAGTTCATAGATTTGCCAATTTTTTTAATTGAAACACAAATAGTAACATTACGATTATTCAGATTTATAAAACAAACGAATTCAATGAATTCAATTGAATTTTGCCAATATATGACACATCTAAAAGTATGTTATTTCACCCATATGCAAATTAAAGAAAAAACGTTTTACACGAGATATTTTCGAAAATATGGGTGGTGTGCTATTAAAATTGAGGTACGGATCATATGATTTACTATGTCTCGTACCTCAATTTTAATAGCATACCACCATATGTGTTAAGAAATCTATAAAGGTTTTTTTATCCGTTTTTCAGATTTGTCTCTCAAAAATGAAATTTACTTTGCTGACAAAGAGTGATAGTCTTCTCTTTCGTTTAAAGTCATGGCTTTCTTCAACATGTCCGTCGCCCTACTAATGACTTTCACGTCGTTTATTTGGATTCGTCGTACTTGTCATGATACGGTAACACGCAAGACTCCTCGGGTATGCGTCGGTCTAATTCTAGGAGGTCTGTTGGTACTTGACAATTCATTGTAAATTGTTACCGAATCATTGGCATGAGGAACGTTTAAGTGTTCATCCATAATAAAGGTTTGTAAGAGCCTTGCTACTTCTTGATTAAATTTGACCTTATCATTATTGATGTATTTAATAATAAATTCTATTATTTTTCTCATTTTATTTTTTTAAAAAAAATATGAAATTTTTTTATATGTATTTTTTTATGATAGAGAAGGATTTTTATTTCTCTATAAACTTAATGTAAGAATAAATTGGTGACTTATAAGCTTAATAATAATTAACAAGGAGTTTTATTTAATATGTAAGGAGAGTGAGTTTGTATTGTCATATATAATATTTTTTTAATTTTTTTTTTATTAAAAAAAATTTTTTGTTACCTGAAGATATTTATAACTATTTATACATTTTAAAACTTAATTTGACAGGCATTTTTTGTCTGTGCACTTTTTTGATATATATAAAAAAAAAAAAAAATTAAATCAAACAATTATATGCATTTGATCATGAAACAGTTAGTAACAATACTAATTTACCATATTGTCTTTGATTTATGTATGTATGATGACATTTCTACAAAGGATGTTTATGTTCACATAAAATAAATTGTTGGACTTGTAATAATGACATGACATGACACGATTTCATTTGTCTTAGCAAGATAATAGGAATTGAAATGTGATTGTTATTTTTTTATTACTTGAAAAGGATAATTCGGCAAATCATGCTTTCCGACAGTTCGGATGTGACTTTTATTAGAATAGAAGGAAAATAAATGAATTTGAACCAATTACAAACTTGAAAAAAAAAAATTTTTTTTTTAATTATGAGATAAGTTCGATATGACGTTATTGACGTATGAGCCACGTTGACCTCATGTGAATGTATGACGTGAGACGATTCTTACTTTTGGTTATGCCGTTATGACGTGATTTTTGTTAAACTTGTTTCTATTTAATACGAACAACAAAAGAAATTATGTAGTCAGTTTAATGATTAATCTTATGCATTTTACATTCTGCCTTTAACTTTTATTTTAAGAATACAAAAAAAAAAAGAAGGTAAAAAATATTTTAAAGACATCAAAGCACAAAAAATTCTTTTGTGTTTTGAGTATGCAACATTACACAAATAAGTGATGCATGTATATCGCATAATTTCGATTTTTCGATAAAACTAAAAACATTTTGTGTCGGGAAATATTATTTAACGTGTTTAAACTAAAATAATAATAATAATAATAAATAAATAAATAAAATAGTTCCTTCGCAAACCGGAAAATCTCTGTTTAATTAAATTATTAGTCTTTAATCTAGAAAATCTTTTGTTGATCTAATTAAATAAATTAATTGAAACGGGGCTAGTGACTTACATTCAAATTTAAGGTTATGG